TTGGCTCCGAATCCGGCGATCCTTTGAATTCGTGGTCTCTGCTTCTCCAGCACCCCTGTAACGTCGAAACGACGTAGCTGGCTGTCTGTGAGGGCAAGGCCTGTTAACTTGGGAGCCGGCCAGGCCTGCAACGAGGCGAAACTGCACTGCAACTCGCTTGTCGAGGCCATTTTTTTGCACAGCCCCCACTAAAGCAACACGACATTAGCATTTATTTGTACCCCCGCCTGAACTGTCCGGAGGGTCGAGGCAACTTTCGAGCAAAGGGACGAGTTTGAGCAGAAGCGATGACTAACCTGAAGTCGGCCTCGTACGTATTCGCGAGGAGGCCGTCTAGGGAATAGGCAGGCAAAGAAGACGTTCATTTTGATATATGCAAGAAGAGAAGACCGGTGACCTTGGATTATTAAATAATCCAATTCACTTGACTACCGGTTGACTTCATCTTAAATGGGAGCGAAGGAGGACAAAAACTAGGCAGCTGGAAAATTGCCGAGCAAACGGAGCGAGTCTCTAAACCCTCATCGCGGCCAGACTGAAACGAGGCAGAAAAGAGTCACGGGAAGGGAAAAATTGCCCTCAAATTTGGTGTCTTGCCGAGAGAAAAGCAAAAAGTTGTGGCTCTCCTTTCCGGACAAGTATGTAAATTGCCCGAACTTGCCAGACAAAGGCAACGAGAAGCAGGCGACTGCCGTTTAGCGAATCCAGCCGGTCGAGTCGCGGCGAAGTGATCGTGTCGAAGCGGCTCAACCACGAAGATGACCCAAACCGTGTCTTTGGCCGGCGCCTTCTGCTGCTGGCCGGGCACCAGGCTCGTCTGGGGACAGTTGCATCCAGTGAACGGTAGACCAGTGAAGGAGTACGGCTCGGCAGACAGTTTCTCTGAAGACGAGGCAAAAGTGAAATCACGTGGGTCATTTGGACCTTTCGAAAGCCGACAACATAAGGTTTGATTTTTGCCGTTACATGCCAACACATTCTGCATCTAAAAGTGCAAGATTTTTACAATTCTTCTGCAATCTCCGTCTCGCTCAAGTCTCTGTCGCGGTTCAAATCCCGCTGAGGGTGTTGATAAGACCGATGCGAGGTCGAAACTGCAGTCCACCCAG